CCCCAAAACCCCAAAACCCCTTGATATAAAAGTTAACTATTAATATTGATTTTGATATTTGCAAATTATTATTGATTTCAGTTATAATTTGAAAATTAAACTATGGAAGAACTAAATGACATTGTCACGATTAAGTCGATAACTTTAAAGTCAAATGAAAGATATCTCTATGATACAAATCTATGTACAAACAATAAAACATCTCCCTTTCTATAAATTTCTGAAAAAATTCAAATAGGTTATGTATTCACTGATTAGAAGGAGGCGGAAAGATTCTTTAAACTCTATGGCTTTGCAAATTGTGAGTGTAGAGTGAGCCATTTTACAAGTGAATAAAAGGATTAATTGGGCTCTAATACTGATGAGAAATTATCACCATTAAAGTATACTCTTGCCAAAAATGTAATAGAGTAATTATTAATATTCTATTAGTGCAATGGAAAGATGAAAGGACTTCAAAGCTAGGGATCAAAGAAAAGAAATTTTAACTTCATTTCTGGCAGTAATGCGTCAAATCCCACGACTGCAGGTACTAATAAACTTCAAAATTCATTGAACAATACGTGTGGAGCAGCTAAACACAAGAAGTTTAAGTTGAACTCTGCAGGACTTAGTGGAGGCATTGGCTTGACTAAGGCTTAAGTGAGATAAAATGAGTTAATGAAGCTCAATTTGGTAAGCAAATATATTTGAATATTATCTAAATAGGATGAGTTGAATGCTATGATGAAAGAGTAAAAGGTATCTAGTGAAAAGATAATTAAAGAGATTGAGTAAAAGATCAAGGACAAGAGTGTGCTCATTAAAGATAATAAGAAATATTATGGAGAGAGGTGCTAGGATTTACTCAATGAAATTCTATGCAGATAGCCTAATGTATAAGACACAGGAGAACGTAATACAATGAGTTTGATTATTAAAAAACTCGGAATCGATGCTGATAGTATCAAATTCTGTTTCGAAGATGATGATTTCAAGCCATTTTGAGATAGACAGTAGATTAGTAAAGAGAGGGAGTTAAAGTCATAAGCTATACGCTTTTAATATTAATTAATTTTTGGTAATCTGATTTGCAAATAGATATTATTTTGAATTTATTTGTAAAGATGAGCTTATGGGGTTTTGGGGTTTTGGGG